CTCTATCTACACCCCCCCACTCCCACCTCCCCACCCTCAAAATTCCCACCCCCTGGGGCATCCAGCCTTCATGAGGTCAAGGTTCTCTTCTTCCACCTATGCCCAGCAGGGCCCTCCACTTTTACATATTCAGCTGAAGCCCTGGATCCCCCCCCTAAGTGCTCCCAGGCTGGTGGTTTAGACCCTGGGAGCTGTGGTTGGTTGGTATTGTTGCTCTCCTCATGGTGCCACAAACCCTTTCAGCTCCTTCAGTCTTCACTCTAACTCCTCTATTGAGAACCCCATGATCAGTTCAATGGCTAGTTGTGAGCATCTGCCTCTGAATATGTCTGACTCTTGAAGGCCTCTGAGGAGATATCCATATCAGGCTCTTATCAGCATGCACTTCCTGTCTTCCACATCAGCATCTACCTTTGGTGATTGCACATGGGATAGATACTCAGGTGGAGTGGTCTTGAGACGGCCCCTCCTTCAGTTTCTGTCCCTCACTTTGTCTCCATATTTGCTCAAAAAAGGGTAATTCTTAAAGTCCACTTTTTCTCTTTCATGGAGATCTTGTTTGGGGACAAAGATTCTATATCTAGAGGATGCCACTGTGATGACACTTCATCCTTGTTTACAAAAATAATGACCTTAGCTGGTATATATTCCATCATTGGCTTAATCTACTGTTACATTTATTAGAAAGAATTCAAATGATTTCATATTAAATTTCCAGACACTAATTTATAGTATTTCTCAGAGTCATAACATCTAAATAGCATACAACTGCGACTGCTTACTATGTTACTTTGGCAGGTTTTAAAGATAAAATAATTTGTCATAAGAGTGAGCTCTATAGCTGTTGTCTTTCTTTTAAATAAATTTAAAACCAATAGAAAATATTCAGTTTCTACTGAGCCCAAGGCTTGAGTCACATAAACCTCATTGGGCCCACTTGTACAAGGACAACCCAAAGCATTGTAGACAAATAGTGGAAATCAAATAAGGAGTAGATAGGAAAACAGCCAAAGACTGATGGACACAATCTACAAAGCAGAGAACCAAGGCAAACAACTTAAATTTCAATTGGTTAATACAATTAAACAATGCATACTAGCTTTCTTAATTATATTTGTCCACTCTGTGTTTTAAAACGTATCCACACTAAAATGTTAGTTAGGTTAAATGCAACCTGTACAGTAATTGAACCTGAAATAGATAAAGGTCAGAGCAAATAAAGTTTATGCTTACAGCTAGGATGTAGCTGAATATGTGTGGGTTTGTCTAGCAGGCTCAAAACATTTGTTCTCTACAGACAAACAAACAAACAAACAAACAAACAGAAGTTGGAAGTTTAATTAATGATATTGTACCCAAACCAATTTTTTAAATATTCATTTGTTTTTATTTTATGTGTATGAGTGTTTTGCCTGCTATCTGTGCACCACATATGCTCAGTGCCTGAACAGGTCAGGAGAGGGAGTTAGGTCCGTTAGAGTTGCATATGCTTGTAATTGTATGCTGCCATGTGAGTACTGAAGAACACCAAGTACTCCTAATGCCATTTCTCCAGCCCCTTGTGCTTTGTCCCATTATATATAGGAAAGCCTTGAATTCACTATGTAGCCCAATCCTCCAGCTTTAAATCTTTCACATGCTGGAATTACAGACATACACTACTATGTCCAGCCTAACTTTTTTCCAGTTTGATGGTGACCTAATATGTTCACATTAGGACGCGCTAGGCAAATTTGTACTATCTTTTCAATTTTCTTGTAAATGGTAAAATGCCACATAATGGTAGTGTAAAGTTGGTCAAAATCTATACATGTGGAGGTCTTAGAGGCAAGCTTCCTGCTGTTCTTTAGCAGAACTGTTATGGGATCTAGCTGCTTCTAAATATTTCAGTTTATACCCACTGGTAGATGGGCTGAATTAGTGAAATTTCTCTTTGCAGTGATCTGCAGTGACTGAAGATATTCATGACCACCCAAGGTGCTGGGAGTCAGTGGTTGTTGAATGCTGAGCTATAAAGAGAACATTTATACCACCAAGGCTCAGGGATCATAGCAGAAGAGGGGACAGGAAGAATGTAAGAACTGGAAGACAGAGGAAGCATTGTGAGATGCTGTCTTCTGGACATTGGAGAACTATTGCAAACATGACCTCAAGCTGTTGTGAATGTTTGGAATGGCCTGTACAAGATGGGACCTATTAGCAGGGACCTATTAGAAGGCTATCATGGGTCAGAAAGGGGGGCTTTCATGGTTCTATGCCTCCTTGAACTACTGTGGCTACTGATGATGAGTTCTGCCATTGTCTTCAATTGTGTCCACTGAGGAGTCTATCAGGCTCAATATATAGCTTCAGAGCCATTGTTACAGACAATTCTGATTAAACTCAATGGGTCTCAAAGGATGAGGAGGAGGAAGAGATATGACTGTGGAAAAGAGATTTGTGTAGAAGAGGGGAAACTGGGGTGGGAAATAAATAGGAAAAAATGAAGAGTCACAGTAATCAAAGTGTGCTTTATACGTGAATGGATTTTCCAAAACAAAAAAAAAATCAAATAAAAGAAAAAAATATTTCAAAAGTAAATGCTTAAAATTCTGATTAAAACAACTCTGTTCTGAAATATTTTTAAATCAAATTATGAGTTATGTGGTGAGTCATGTGTGACTTTGATGAGTAACATGAGCAGTTCTCCAGTGCTGCTGAGATTGGTGGTTTGCCTACTCTCATCTTTGGAGTAGCCATATTCCTGGAAAAGTATGCTCTTCTCTTAAGAGAAATGCCAGTATTTTCATGCAAAACTGACCTCTGCGTGAGATCTGGAAGATCCCTTGGGTCACCTAATCAGTTTTTAAAGCATTTAAATTATATGTTCATGTATGCAGGGTTGGGGGGTGTGCACATGCACACACGCACGCACACACACACACACACACACTCATATCTATGTGAGGATATGTGCATATGAGTGCAGGTGCTTTCAGCAGCCAAAGGGGGTATCAGATGCCCTGGAGCTGGTATTACACGAGCCTGCGAGACAATTAGCCTGGGTACTAGAACCCAGCTTCTGGGCTTCAGGAAGAGTAGGAAATGCTCTTAACCAATGAGTCGTCTCTCCAGCTCCGCCTCAGATCAATTTTAACAGCATGTTTTTAGGAGAGAAAGTTTAGAGATTTAAAAAGTTTCTTCTCCTATCTTATTATCAAAATCACAATAAAAGATCCCTTGCTCTGATCATGTTTTGTTTGAGATTATATACATCCTTTGTTTACGTCATCAATGATCCTCAGCATTTTAGATATTTTTCATTTATATTTTATTATCATTTTCTGTGTATGTTACCCTATTGATCGAGGCTAAAATCTGATATTTGGGTCAATATTTAATGTTAATCTACAGAGGTTGAAACCAAGAAACCAACCAAACACCTAATTTTCACAGGTTAAATGAAAATGACAGCTTCCAAGTTCAGTAACAGTAAATGAATCTAGACAGAAGAGTAGTTTCCACAGTGTGTACTTCCGATAGGTGTCTTTAATGAGAGACAAAGAAGGTGTCCCGTTAAGGTGTGGAAATGTGAGGAATAAGGTAACAGAATTAAGAAAGTAGTAAAAAAAAAATTATGAAATTGTTTTAATATACCTTTCTGCAGAAAGCGACACCAGCGCAGAAAAGGAGCAAAAATGGCTGACTTGGTGATCTGGCACAAGAAGATGGTTTTTAAAAATCCCTTGATCTGGTGAAATTCCTTCCCTCTCTTCCCATATGCTAGGACTTGTGCCTTTCCCAAATTCCCCAACCAATTGTTTAGGATGCAGAATCTTATCTAAATAAATTGGAGCCCCATTTTCTAGTCTAGGACACCGACATGTAGCAGACTGCCTGTAACTTTGCAATTTTGATTGTTCCAAGACTAGCCTTAGCCAGGTTCCAGCTAGGGAAGCGACCTTAGAGACGTAGGGCCTTGGGCTATCTGTAACTAACTTTAAATGTACCTCATACTGAAAAATGGAACATAACAGTTTCTTACAGCTACTCTCAGCTGCAATGCCCTGGCCAGTGACCATGACGGAGTAGCATTTCGCCAGGAAGTATTCTAAACCTAATAATCCTAGTGATAGAAAATAATAAACTGAGCAGTGTAGGGAGATCCCTCTGGTATGCTTGTGTGCATTTTTCACTGAAAGATTTGGCAGAAAGGTGGCAAAATGAGCCTGCCATTCGATGATTGACTTCTGATGCTTCCTCCCCACGCTGGAATGTAATCTCTCGTGTTCTCACAAGGACAGCCTTCAAATGATAGGTGAAACTTTTGACTGAGACCACCTTGGGGTTTTTGTTTGCCTCCATTGCACACATGATTCTTTGTAGAGATCTAGATCGTCGCACCTTTCTTTCTTTCTTTTTCTTTTTCTTTTTTTTTTTTCGAGACAGGGTTTCTCTGTATAGCCCTGGCTGTCCTGGAACTCACTCTGTAGACCAGGATAGCCTCGAACTCAGAAATCCGCCTGCCTCTGCCTCCCAAGTGCTGGGATTAAAGGCGTGCGCCACCACTGCCCGGCTCATGTCGCACTTCTTTCAATACTTCTGTGCTACAAGCTTTAAGTGACTGGTTCCTGAAGTTAAAGCCTCGGCTAGAAAAATTACTCAAGTCATCATCCAACAGTCTTTTAGGGCTCTCTGTGTCTTGTACAGGTTTGGTGTTACTACTGTTGGAGGGTTTTTCAACGTGAGAAAATACTGGCACCTCAGGTTCCTCAGCTACCATAAAAATATTTGTGAGGCAGGCCAGTCTCTAGCGCAAAGCGTTCAAAACGTCCACTCCAGAGACTCCTACCTTGAACCCTGCTGTCCCTTGCACACAACTTGAACGAATCTCAGCTTTGTACCCTCCTCGTTGCACCCAGACACCCCGGACTACGTCCAAAGCACACGCCCACCTTCCGGGAGAGCACTGCAGCACGCACGCGCGGATCCGCTGGGACGTCACCTCGGCGACCAGTAGTGACGTCAGAAGACGCGCCTGATCGAGGTTTGCCTGGATTCTGCGGGCGGGAGTCCTGCCCCTTGGAGCTCATGGTGCGCTGCGGGTGTGCGTTGTTGAGAAAGGTCCGTGTCCAGGGGTCGTCCCCCAGCTTTGGTGTCTCTCGCCGCTCTTCCCCTGGGTTGTCGTTCCTCAGTTCCCGCTGTCCTGGGAGAAGACTGTGTCTCTGTGACACGCTTACGCCTGTTTGGGATCCAGCTTTAGGGAATTCCTATAATATTCCCCAAAGCACATGGGAGGATATTTGGGATACCTGCCTGCGGTTTCGACACAGCATTACGGTGCACGTGCCGTATAGCGGCTTTTTGTTTGTTTGTTTGTTTGTTTTGGTTCTCATTGTTTAAAAGAGTGGCCATAACCTGCTTTTATACATTTCTCCTCCTTTGTACTGCTTTTAATATCTTTCTGAAGACTTTTTCTGGAAGCCAGAATGTGTACTTGCTGTGCCTCGTACAGAGATTTTACGTCAGTTTTTATGTAGTGCCTATCTTAGAATTCATTTTTATAACAATCTGCAACCAACCACTTCGATTTAAAAGAAATCACAGTGAGCTAACTAGCAACGGTTTGTGAAAGCTAGAAGTCATCTTCTATACATAAGCTTTGTAAGATAAATAGCCCTTATAAATGAGAGTCCCTAATACATGTGACAAATCTAGAAAAGAAAGAAAAAGCCACACATTGAACACAGCTTTAAAAGCCTTTACCGAGAATATCTCAGGGGTCAATCTTCACTTTTTTTAAACCCACAGATAATTTTGATACCCAAAAGTACTGCAGGTTACCAAAAATGCAAATATTAACTTAACTGCTCTATAATTTGAAAGCCTGGGATTAAGACACAAGAGCTTTGTAAGAACATACTTATTTAGTGAGGGAAACTAAATATACAGTACCAGAATGTATAATACAATATCTGAGGAAGCCTGCAAAACCAGAGAGAGTCAATGAGAGGGACATTCCAAGGATGCTCAGATCATAAAACCATAAGCCATATTTTAGTTGTATTTGAGGATACACTGAAACTCTGACACCAGAAAATGGGTTTATGATAGAAAGAACAAATGATAATTTACACAGAGGAGTAAGCATGAATCGAGTGGCAGGGAGGGTGGACAGTGCACAGAAAAGAACTGTAAAAATGACAACCATCCTGGTGAGATCGGGGGAGGGCTTTGGATCCAGCACTTGAACTTAATTATTATTTCGTAAGCAGGAAAACTCCAAAGTCACGATCGTTTCTAAAACGATCGAGTAAAGAGACACAGACGTCAGGTTCATTTAAGGGGGAAAAACGAAGCTCTTGGCTCATGGTGGCAGATTAAGAAGGAATGATGAGACACTGAAAGACCATTTGGAGTTAACAGTCAAGGATCTAAGGAGACAGTGGTCCTGGAAAGGAGTTAGGTTTCTTGGAAAGCAAACATGACAGTAAAAAGCCATCCATTTGTTCAATCTTGGTGAGCAGAGAAGCCTTGATAGTTATCTGAGGGAATAGCTTTTTGTTGTTGCTGCTGCTGCATTTAAAACATTCTGTTTTGAAGGGAACATCCATTCAGTGGATACCCACCAGGTTACTCATTTTAAAGGGTTTCAAATGTAAATGGAAGGCATTTCTGCTTTCAGTTGTTTTAAACTATTAAAAACTTAACTTTTTTCTGGGGGAGAGTTACTAGTACCTACTGAGATCACCCTGGAGAGAAGGTTTAGAATGAAAACAGGAGAAAAGGCAGAGACCTTGAGGCTAGGTGAAACAATTGATCATTGACGGAGAGAAGATGGGAAAGAAGGTAATGTAAGAAAGGAAAGGGCTATACAAGCTGGGCAGTGGTGGTGCACGACTTTAATCCCAGCACTTGGGAGGCATAGGCAGGTAGATTACTGAGTTTGAGGCCAGCCTGGTCTTCAGAGTGAGTTCCAGGACAGCCAGGGCTACACATAGAAACTATCTCGAAAAACCAAAAAAAGAAAAAGGGGGGGGGGGGCTATACAGTGCTATGCAGACAGCTTTGATTCTTTCCTGAAAGAAGCCTCAGTAGAATGAAACTAGAACCTTTTACGTTAATCCAATGTTTGATGTATAAATATCCTCTCTCTTCTCTCTCATTTTCTTAAGTATGGAAATTTCATTGATAACCTAAGAATCTTCGCCAAGGGAGGAAGTGGTGGAATGGGCTATCCTCGTTTAGGTGGAGAAGGTGGAAGAGGTGGAGACGTCTGGGTTGTGGCCCGTAAAAATATGACCTTAAAACAACTTAAAAACAAATATCCTCAGAAACGGTTTGTGGCTGGAGGAGGAGCAAACAGTCGGTGAGTGCTTATGGGATGGTTCTCAGCTTCATGAAAGTCAGACTCTTCTGGGGAAACCAGAATATAGAACTTTACTGATAACCTGTATTACTTTCTGTATTCTCATCAAGGAAAAATCTAACTTGACTATTTTGGTGGCTTTGACCTTTGTTCATTTATTCTCCCTGTGTCCTTTTTGCATTTCTTCCTGGGAATAGATGTTATCTGAATCCCTTCTTTGTTCCAAACTTACCTTGGGCAAAATTTCAGTAATGCCCCAGCCACTCCCCACCATGGAAAGTCTTTCATTTATAGTTATTCCACCGAGATATAACCACTATTTGCTTTGACTTGACTTTTCTAATACATTTCTGTGGTTTTACAAATGTGATTATGTGTTTATGTATAGAGTCAAGCATGAAGTAAAAAGATAACATAGCAAAAGTATTTTACAATGCCTCCTTTTTACTTAACCTTTTTAAGCCTAAAGTTATTCAGAGAGCTATGTATCACATTGTCAGAGTTAACATTTTATCACTTGCCAGTTTAGGTTAGTGTTGGTACTATTCTTTTTTTATTGCCAGAGCCACAGTGTTTTAATGATATCCTGTGTAGATGCTCTTTACATGTTTAATTTTTTGATAAATTCCTCCAAGTGGAGTTACTGTTAGATTTTACCAGCTTATTTTTATGTAAGCAACTTTAAAGTAGCCAATTAGCCTCTTCTAACTCAAATACTGCCAGTTATGGTCAGCCTTTTAGAAAAGTGATATTTGTTAGACTTGCTAGGTCTTTGTACTTGACTTGTATTGTAGAAATCATCTTTGGATTTCAGATATATAATATATCAGTTCACGTCAGGTTGGAATGACTTAGTGATTAACTTAGTAGTGACTTATTGCCATTTTTTATAGGACACGTTAGTATAAAATGTAATAAAATAAGAATAATCATTTCTTTTTAATATTTAGCCTTTTAATATCTGTTTTAGTGATAAGGGCTGATTGTTAGTCACCATTGTAAATCATTTAATTTAGTGGTGTTCTGTTGTGTTTTGTAGAGTGAGTGCACTGAAGGGCTCCAAGGGAAAGGACTGTGAAGTGCCGGCTCCTGTGGGTATCTCAGTGACTGATGAAAACGGCAAAGTGCTAGGTGAGGCCTGGCTTTTATGCTTGTGACAGACGAGCACATTGTCCAAAGTTAATGCAGGAAAGCAGAAGAGCTCCCTAATGCGTGACAAAAATGCTCTTCAGTATTAAAACTACATTGTTTTGTGCATTGGGAGACCACACACGTGGAGGTCAGAGGATGGTTCACAAGAATCAGTTCTCGACTCCTATCCTCTGGGGTTTGGGGATAAAACTTAGGTCATCAAGGTTGGTGACAAGGGTTCACACACAGCCATTTCACAGAAGAAAGGTTTTTAACGTTTACAACTTTAGCTACTAGCTTATTAAAGATTTTTTTAAATGTATATAAAATGTATTCAAAAATGTACTGCTAGATTTAAGATGGCTTTAAAGAGGTAAAGCTACTTACTTGGTTTTAAAACATATAATCAATTTTCTTTTAGCTGTGTACAAATTGTTTTTCTGGAGTCAGTCTTTACTTGCCTTGTGTCCATGGTAGGCAAACACTTTACCTCCAAGCCAGCCCTAGGGAATTGCTTTTAAAAGTGTTTTGTTTTTTAAGAAATTTAATCTTGCAGTTTAGCCTTTTAGATTTTTAAGTTGGAATTTCTTGATATATTTATGCAGCAAAACAAAACATATTATTAGTTTTATTTATTAATGTTTGTTGTCTTTCCTCTTAAAGGGGAACTCAATAAAGAAGAAGACAGAATTCTGGTTGCTAAAGGTGGCCTTGGTGGTAAATTACATACAAATTTCTTACCTTTGAAAGGCCAGAAGCGAATTATTCACCTTGACCTGAAAGTTATAGCTGACGTAGGCCTAGTAGGGTAAGTATCACTTATCTTCTTGTAGTATGTTCAAGCAGATAGTTCAAGACTACAAAACCCATGTAAATAATCATCTTGGGCAGTAAACATTCCTAGTTTATTTAATTTGTACGTTAGTACTTTCTGCTAAAAATACAGCTGACCCTTAAAAATTTAAGAGGTGAGGTACAAATTTCATCACTATATTCCTGCAATAAAAAGTCTGTATATATTTTCTTTTCTTTTTTTCTTTCTTCCTTCCCTTCTTCCTTTCCTCCCCCTCTCCCCTGGCTGCCCTGGACTTGTTTTATAGACCAGGCTAGCCTCAATCTTCACAGTGATCCACCTGCCTCTGTTTCCCTAGTGCTGAGATTAAAGGCATGCGCTACTATGCCTGGCCAAATTTTAAGTGTTATTGCTCTATGATCACATAGGATACAAGGAGTTATTTCAGTCTCTTTGGATTAGTAAAGATTTGTTATGGGTCAAGGGATTTAAAGCTTTGTGCTGCTAAGTAGAATGTACGTTCCTTGGTGTTTGAGTGAAACACTCAGTAAATGTCTGTTAAGTCCATTTGATGTATGATGTGAATTAATTCTCACGTTTCTGTGTCCAGATGACCTGTCTAGTAGAGAAGAGGGGGGTTGAGGTCACCTACTATTAATGGATTGGTATTAATCTGTCTTAAACCCAGAAGTACATATTTTATGAAATTGGGTTCCCCAGCATCTGGTGCATACATATTTAGCATAGAGATGTGTCTTGGTTAGTTCTTCCCCTGATCAGAATGAAGCACCCTCTTTTATTTCTTCTGGCTAGTTTTAGTTTGAAGTCTGTTTTGTCAGACACTAGGACAGTGACTTCTATTTGCCTCCTGGTCCCATTTGATTGGGGTACTTTTGTCGATCCTTTCAGTCTGTGCAGTGCTTATCTTTAAAGGTAAGGTGTGCTTCTTGTAAGCTACAGATAGATAGGTATTGTTTCTTCATCCGTTCAGTCAGTCAGCCTGTGTGTTTTGATGAACTGAGAGCAGTGATATTTAAAGTTATTACTGAAATGTGTGTGTTGGGCGGTCATTGCATGGTGGTTTTGGGCTTGTTTGTGTTCTCAGTGGTGATTCATGACTTCATATTTTCTTCCACGGTCTCTCTGCTGTGCTCATTCCTCTCATCAGCCTCAGTATTACTTCCTCAATTCTCTTTAGGCTTTGTTTGTTGGATATAATGTGCAGGGCTGTTTATATCATAGAAAGTGTTTCTTTACCCTTCAATTCTGACACATAGTTTTGCTGGGAATGTCAGTCTAGCCTGGCCATCACAGTCTCTTAGGGCTTGGACTGCATTGCTCCAGGCTATTCTGGCCTTCAGAGTTTCCATTGAGACACCAACTGTTATTCTGTTGAGTTTTTCTTTACATGTGGCTTGTGTATTTTCTCTTGCAGCTTTCAATATGCTTTCTTTGTTGTGTATACTTAGTATTTTATGTTGTAACTATGATATGCCATGGAGATTTTGTTTTCTGGTTTTGTTTATGTGTTCTGTGTTTCTTATATTTCTATGGCTTGTTTCCTTAGTGTGGCAAAGTTTTCTTCTATTATCTTATGGAAGCTCTAGCCTATGCCATTGATTTGGGATTCTCCTCCCTCATCAATACCTGTAATTCGAAAGTTTGGCATTTTTTATGGTGTCCCACAGTTCCTGTGTTCTTTCCTCTCTCACTCTTCTCTCTCTCTGTGTGCATGTTTTAATTTTTCATATTTCTTGCCTGTTTTGTTTAATTCCTTAACTTTATCTTCCATTCCTGATTCTTCCCTCTGTTTAATTCATTCTACATTAAAGGCTTTCCTTTTAGTTTATGAGTTGAGTTGCTGGGTTTTCACTTCCATCTTCATTTCTGTTTGATCTTCTTCTGAGTCCTGCATTGTCTTACAGTTCCATCAGCTTTATGTTTGGGTTGCCTCTTCTTAATTCCACTGAGCTGGTTGTATTTTCTTTAAACCCAATTGAATTATCTGATGAAGCTTATGATTGTTCTTTTAAACTCTGTCCTGGAGTTCATCTACATATTTCTCATTGATAAACATTTCTAATGGACTAGTAGGTTTTGGAGTGAAGATACTGGCTTGATCATTTTGTATTGTTATCATTGATATTTTTGCAGTGAAATCTATGTGTATAGGCTGTTGTTGGTTTGGGCATGTGGACTTCGCTGATTCTAAGTCTGATATAGGGTAGAAAAGAAGATGTATGAATAGGCTGGGCCTGCAGGCTGGAATGGCTTGAGTGGAATAGTCAGTCAGATGAGCAGAGTGGACTGGGGCAGTATACAAGATGTGCCTTTTGGTGTCTGGATTGACGGGGGAAGGGGAGAGTAGATAGGACTAGATAGGAAAGTTGGAGATGGCATGGGAAGTTGTCGGTTGGGGTGGGGGGGCATGTCAGATGACTGCAGAGGAGAACAGACTAGCCTGGGCTACTGGACCCAGGCTACCTGTGACTGGCTGGGGAGAAGGCATGAATGAGGAAGTCAGTGAGGCTCACCAGGCTAGACCCTGGAGAAGGTCTGGCTGGGTAGAGAAGTTAGATAAGTCACAGAAGGAACCTGTGGGTGGTAGCATGTAGGACAGATCATTAGGAAATATTTTTAAAGTGATCCTTATTTTTAATTCTTATGCTTAATGTTTATGTTTAATACTTAATACAAGATGGGCCCTTCAGGGAAACATATAAAGTCAAAAGCCTTTAAAGTGATCATATTTAAACCCATATTTACTCATATAGAAACTTATTACAGTAAAGAAATTAAAGATGCAAAGAGTTAAGATAATCACCATATTGCTTTTTGGTTTTCAATTTTTATTTTATGTGTGGGTGTTTTTCCTTCAGGTATATCTGTGTTCCACTGGTATGCTTGATATCCTTAGAAGCCAGAAGAAGGCATCAGATCCCCCAGGACTGAGATTGTACATAATGTGTATTTATTACGACTTTTTTTTTTTTTTGCAGAAAGAAAATAAAAGAACAATTTAGCTATTCTACCACTCTAAATATCAGGGACAAGTATATATCTCTCCAGTTATGTACATATTTTTATCACATTTACTTGTGTTTGTGTGTATGTGTGTAGACATGTAATTGCCACAGCACATGTGTAGAATCAGAATAATTTTCAGGTGTTGGCTTTCTTCCTTTACTATGCAGATCCCAGGGATCAAACACAAATTGTAAGACTTTATTCAGTGAGCCATCTCAGTGGCTTCTCGTTGGCTCTTATATACATATTTTTCCAAAGTTATTTATAATTGCAACAAATTAGAAGCAATATGAATGTCATTAGAAAGCTGGCTGGATAAATTGTGTATTAGCCATTGGAAAATTGTTCTTAGTGTCATGCAGGTTAAAAGCAGTCAGTAGATTATGAAATATTCTTCAAAAAAAATCAAGGCATGTTTTACTAGTCAAGGTTCTCTGAGGAACAAAACTTATAGAATCCAGGGCAAAGGACTGTGTTCAATGATGCTATCTATGTACATGGCAGCAGAAAATTCTAAACTGTAGAAAAGAAGCTCTGTGGGACAAATGACCCAGTTTCTTTAAAAATAAATTGCAAAAGAGAAGGAAAATGGAAGGTAAGCATATGTGGAAAAGATTTCAGAGCCACTCCGGCGGATTATAATTTCAGTGCTTTATTTCAGTTGTATCCAAATAACCAGACTTTAAAAACTGGAGAACCCTAAGCTAAAACTGACCAGAATGCTTCCTCTCTAAGGGCTAGCTTTCATGTAAACAGACAGCACAATGTAAGCTTCCAAAGGAGGAAGGCAACCCAGTCTTATCCAGCTATGATGCTTATGAACTTATCAATAACCAGCATAGCATCATGACCCTACGGGTGCAATAGTGACACATACACATTGGCAGTAGCCAGAACGTCTCTGATTGGACTTAAGACAAATTTGACATATCAGCATGTGGGAGGCAGAGGCAGGTGGATCTCTGTGAGTTCCAGCCAGCCTAGTCTACATAGTGAGTTCCAGGGCAGCCAGAGCTGCACAGTGAGACCCTGTTTGGAGGGGGTGGGAGAAGAGAGATACCATGTCTGGTACTAGAAACCTAGCTACCTACTATATGTATGAAAACATACATACAGGAATATTGTACGGGTTGAGCAGATTTGGGAATTTGTGTGAGCACACACACATGCATACAATAACAATGAAATGAGAGACTATAGCTGGGTGGTGGTGGTGCACGCCTTTAATCCCAGCACTTGGGAGGCAGAGGCAGGTGGATTTCTGAGTTCGAGAGTTCGAGGCTAGCCTGGTCTACAGAGTTCCAGGACAGCCAGGGCTACACAGAGAAACCCTGTCTCGAAAACCCAAACCAAAACAAAAAAAAAAAAAAAAAGAGAGACTATGAATTTGAAAGAGAATAGGGAGGCATATATGGAACAATGTGGAGGGAGCAAAGGTAAGGAAGAAAGGTCTTAGTTATATTATAATGTCAAAAATATGAAAAAGTAAAAATTAAATAAAAATGGTATTGATAGTATATTAGTAGTAATTGAAGCTAGGTGATTACCACACTAGTTATTTGTCTATGTTTGTAATGTTCACAATCCACTCATCATTAAGTCATGTTTTGTCAGTGTTTGGCTAAAGATAGTGAATTGCAGGGCTAAAGAGCTGGCTCATCAGTGAGTTGCACTGGCTGTTCATCCAGAGGATCGGAGTTGAATTCTCAGCATCCAGACGGCTGCCCACCACTGTCTGTCACTCCCAGGGTCTCCCCTCTTCTGGTCTCAGTGATGATCAGACACACATGTGATGCATAGGCATACAAGCAAGACACCCTACACAGAAAAACAAATTAAGAGAAAAGAGAGAGTGAATTACAAGGTCTTAAGCTTTAAGAATTATTTTTAATTGCGTGCATGTACATGTGTCTGTATGGGGGTGAGTCCCGATCGTGTGGAGGTTTGACCTGTCAGATTCTTCTGAAGCTGGAGTTACTATAGGCACTAGTGGGCCACCATGGTGGATGCTGAGAATGGACTCTGCCTCTGCAGAAGCTATGCAGACTCTTCTTAACCCTTCAGCTATTCTCTTCAGCCCTGAATTTTTATTTAGTTGTTTACCTAAGTTAAAAAAGAGGTACTTTACTCTCTTAATTCTTAAATTCATACTTTTACTTTATTTATAAGTATATTTTTTCTCACTTATTCCAAAATTGTTTTAAACTTAGAATCTTGTGGAGAGAGACTGAGGAATTAACTCTTATGCTTCTTGAATGTAGAGTACACATTCTACTATTGAGGTGTAATCAATCCCTGTATTCTAATCATAGTTCCAGAAATACTCAAGAAATCTACATTTGGGAGGGGGAGGGCTTGGAGGCAGGGGCAAGCAAATCTCTGTGAGTTTGAGGTCAGTCTGGTCTACAGAGTTCCAGGACAGCCAGGATTATACAGAAAACCTTGTATCAAAAAAACAAAGCAAGACCGGGGGGGGGGGGGGTCTTTATGTAGCCTGGTGCTCCTGGAACTCTATAGACCAGGGTGGCCTTGAACCTACGTCTGCCTCCCAAGTGCTGGGATTAAAGGTGTGTGCCATCACCACCTGGCAAGATATCCACTTCTTGTCAGAACAGAGTCCAAGAATGGAGTCAATGAGAATTCTGGGTGCTTGTGAGAAAACTCCAAGAGAACAACAGTCTTGTAACCCAGTTTCTTCAAAACACCGAACTATTCTTGGAATGTGTCTTCATGTTCCTTCCAGGTGTAGCCGATAGGAGAGAGTTTTCTTCAGCTGTTATTATCCACAGGCCTCTATGGAAAAACGTGTCTGCCACATGTGACTTAGTCTTGTGATTGAGCGTCTTGCTCATGTGAATTTTTTAACCCCCAGGTATAAACTTCCTGATGTTCTGAATAAAATTGGCTATTGTCCGAGACTTTAGTCCACCTCATTTTTAGCCCCTGCTCCCCCAGGTTCACACCACCAACTAGAGTAGTAAACACTTGAAATGTTGAGTATTCAGAAACATGCAACTCATTCTGATTTTGTAAAATGCACATATATAATGTATTTCAGATTCCCAAATGCTGGAAAATCCTCCTTACTAAGTCGGGTTTCCCATGCAACGCCTGTGATTGCAGATTATCCATGTAAGTATTGTTAGTATTCTGTCTAAACTCCACCTCCACAGTTACCTGGCAACAGCCAGGTAGGCCTGCTCACTATAAAAGGGGCTGCCTGCTCCCTCCTCTTTCTCTTGCTCTCTTGCTCTCTTGCCTCTAGCTTTCCTCTGGCCCCTCGCCCCTCCCCTTCCCCTTCCCCTTCTCTCCACATGGTCATGGCCAGCCTCTACTTCTCTCTTCTTCCTCTTTCTTCCTCTGCCGTCTTCTTCTATTTCTCTCCCTCCACCTTGGCACTGAATAACACCCCCCCCACCCCGAACCGTTTGGTCTGGTGTTGTCTGTTCTAAGCTGCACGGACGTCTAGTAAGTATAATTGGTATACTTTAATGTGTGAGGTAAGTTGTCTGTGCATAAGACTAATACAAGTCTGAGTTTAGCTTTCATTTGACGGCTTTCAGCAGTTAGAATCTATGCCTTTCTTTTTACTCTTTCAGATCACTTCAGTCCTCACAAAAATTTCTTGTCCTTATTAGGAACATTGCTGCATTTTTTTCTCTGTTGCACATCACTTACTTGGTTACTATAGGATGTTAATGCTACTTAGCTCGTGTTGCACATTGTGATAAATACTGGGAAGACAGAGATAAGCGTTTTTACTAATTTTATAAGGATTTTTCTAGGAACCATATTAGGCTATGCTGCTAGAAAAGCTGGTAAGCAAACCTTACCAGCAATGTTGCGACATTAATCACACTCAGACTAGGGAGAAAAGAATGTGTGTTTGTGAGTGTGAATAGCATTGATACATAGATACACGGAAAGGCAGTGTTAAAGTGTGAATAGCACT